CACTATTTCAGATTTAGAGAGAATGTGATTTAGTCTTACTTGTGATAGAATTCTAAATCCCGAAGAGAGACATCTCCGGCATTCGACTGGGTGAAATCCAACAAAAGTCCAAACGGAAATCACGAATATAATTATGTGAGCAAGGCCATTGAGAAATCTCGATTAGTCACTCGTGTGGTGTACCGCGTTCCTGAACGACGATCAGCCAGCTAGTTGCTCGATGCTCGGCGCTCGCTCCGAGAAAATCCATCTCCGGATGTAAGCCGGCCTGATTACCACCATCACGCGCCGTTGTTTCTTGTTTGCCTTTAATCTTTCGCCGCTTCGCTAACGAAAAGTATACAATTTCCGCCGACCGCGCACGCCTTCGCCTCTCCTTTTTTCCTTTCTCAGCGGTCTGTTTCATTGCGTTCACCGAGAGAAACCCCATTATTCTCGTTATCAAGAAGCGCGATGAGGACACTATTGTCAATTTACTAGGTTCGTTCTCTTCAACCGGCGCCACGACGCCGGGCGTCGCCGAGCTGATGAACGAGGCGAATTCTCGATGATTGCTCCATGATGAGAGACGTGAAGGAGATCGAGTAACCACCAAATGGGCTGGCATCCCCGATGCGTCGAAATTTCATCGACGTGTCGCGGCGCGACACGACGCGACACTCTCGTATCGTGGACATGACATTGTGGAGGAATTATGGTAGCTAGCTGGTGAAACGAGGCTAGTCGCGAAACGATGGGGGCGGGAGAAAGCGCGGACGAGGGCAGGGCACTGGGTGAAATATCGCGGTTTAACGTGACAGTTTAAGGGCGTTAACCCTGGCGACGCTAATGTCGTCTGCGCGATGGAAGGCGCGGTAGCCACTGACCGGCTCTTCGCCCCTTTGTAGAAATGGCGACCGTATTTCTTCCGCAACATTTATTAATATACGTTTCCAAAGTACAAGCCTGCAATAGCACTGAACGAGGTGAAAAATGGAGTAATTGTGAGGCGAAAAGAAGTCAGGATCCACGGAGGCGAGTTATTTATTTCGGCAGGCGGTAAACGCACTTCGTTTCTTTTAGTCGACAATAAATAATAGCGTATCTGAGATTAAGAGAATAAAGACACAATTCGAGATATCTGATAAAAGATTTTTCAAGGGGAAAAAGGTTCAATGACGCTGTTAAAATCACGAAGATAGGGGAGGCTTTGATCGAAGCGATCTTCTATCATGAATATCAGCGTGCACGTCGAATCAACGTACAATAGTCAATCCGCGATTGTGGAAAACGACATGATGCTATCAAAGCGAATAAATCGAGTTTCTCGTGGCCGTGATCCCTGCGTGAACGTGCCTCACAGAAATAAGGGAAGCAACGCAGCCGATGTCTGTTATCAAGCCGCACGATACACGGTCGACGTCGACCGAAAACGACGTCGAATAGCGAAATGGACGTTCCGCGTCGTATCTGGTACGAAAGGATCATTGCACGATCGGAATAATTGGTCCCAGCGCCAGTTGCTACACGAAGCAATCGGGAAGGAAGTGCAGATATTCGAATCATGGATTGTAGAATTTCGAAGAAAACTGGCGATAACTGAGAATCAGATGGAACATTTTGCGCTTAAGGGAATCCTAAAGTCGTCTTTTTTCCCGATTAAACGTTGCAATAATTTTTATGAAGGATTTCATGTATTACTTTTATAGATTTGTAAAGGATTTCATGTATTACTTTTATGGATTTGGAAACTTTTCCAGAATTAAAATATTAAATGCATTAATACTAATCTGATGGGTGGAGTTTATCCTGAGAACGAAAACATGTTTTGAAATTGAATTCTTTACCATTTCTTAGTCCAATATGGCATCTAAAGCTGTCAAGTCGTGACAACATTTGCTTAATATAAAAGTTCTGCAATCTGTACTTACGAAATTGGAGTTTCCAGACTAGAATGCATGAAGAGTCAACGTCAAGTTCTGAAACTTAACACCTAATTTGATACGAAAATCCTGTACAAAAATTCATGCGTATTTTGAAAAAGAAATTTATTAAATCTTAATATATTTCTTCGAATAGTTCTAAATAAACTTTTACTTACAATAAATAAATATTTACTTCAAACTAATCAAACAAAAATATTTATTAAACTTTATAATTTTTTCCAATATATATATGTATACGTACGAATGTACGATATTAATACAGTAGTGATGCGTCGATGTCACGTAAATTGTACGTGTGTAAGTTCCATTAAATCGGTAAAACGGTGATCCCATCGGAGTTCGGTCTTCAGTTTAGGATCCCCTTAAAAGATTAGCTGTGGGATCTACCGGCGATGGATTATCCGTATTTTCCTTCCGGCTCATCCGCAAACGTATCGCGCCATTGGCAAAGCTCCAAAGGGGTGGATAGTGCGCATCAGGCGGCACCTCTTAATAATAATAGCGATAAAGCAGCCAAAAGGGGCACTTCGGGTCACCGCGTATGCGCGCACACCCTTTCCGAACGCGTCGTCTCAGAAATGAAACTGCGACCGTGATGACGGAAGATGAGAAGGATCTCCACCGTGCGTCTTCTTACATCGTAGCTCTTTTCCTTCGCGACTTCTTTCCCGGTTTTACGGCTCGTTGGCAGCAGAAATTCTGCGTTAAACGCATCCGCTATTCGCCGTTTTGGAATAGCACCACGACGAACAGATTTAATATAATGAGATGCGACGTTTTCTAAGTAGTTGGCGAAGGAATATCTCCAGTGCATTCTATGAATGCCAATGGGGTGATAACAATATTTCGTAGACAGTAATATATTTATGATATATTAAGAGGAAGAAGCCAGGAATTTCACGTATTGGAAAATCGGAGCTGCGACTGCTAGTTATTCTCCAATATAGAAAAAAAATCCGGAAAAATCGGACGACTTCCTGAGTCGAAATTTTGCTCCTACTTTGAATCTTAGTTTTAGGACGCATGTAGACTCTAAAGATGACGTATGTAGACTCTAGAGATTTATAATAGGTTCTAATCTAATGAATTGAGCTTCTACGTTGAGCCTGTAAATGGCAGTTATTGCAAGATTTCCTATTTTTAGGTTCAAAAGAAGTTTTCTAAATAGAAGCTTAAGAAGATTAAGCTAAATAGAATAACATCTATGTAATCGGCTGTAAATAAGGTCTACGTTTGGGAATTTTTTTTTATTTAATGAATCATGCGCGCGCGCGCTATTAAAAAATGAGTTTTATAACTTTATTAAGCACATAAAAAAGTACAAAAAATAATTTTTTCAGAATTTTATTTATCAAAATGGCGGATCTGTAGCAGCGTGATGGAGACAGTTGAAATAGCATGTTCCGCGGCTAGCAGCACAAGTGTCGTAATTTTTGGTTTAGAACAAAAAAGCAAATATTTTTATTTTCTTTATTCAAATATCTACAGAAATACGTAGCCGTTTTTGAAAATATTGATTTTTGACAAAATGGCGGAAGTATAAACAAAAAGTTCCATTTTCGTCAAAAAATAATCGAGTAAAATCAGCTGTAACTAAAAAAATTTGTAACTTTTAAAAAAATTCTACCTATTTTTCTTTAGAAAATGTGATTTGTTAAATATTGTTAAAATTTGAAATAAATAGGTTAAAAATTGTTTGTCTTACTGCTAGCCAACTTAAAAAATACAGTTTTGAAAAAAACGCGTTTAAAGTTTTGAATGTGAATGCTTTTAAGTTAACAATTGAATTTTTAGGAGCCTATAACTTTCGAAAAAAATTATATATGGCAATAAAACCACTTACACTTCATTTTTGAGACCCTAAAGTGTATTTTAAAAGGAAAAAATCGATTTTTTGAAAATTTTACATAGGTGTACATTACTCCTTAAGTAATAATAAAAGAGGCCCTATTTGATTATACAAGTATCAAAACAGGTTTGTAAGATTTAACTGGGGTTGAAAGAGATTCAAAGTAGGACTAAAATTTCGAGTTAATCTCTGCTTTTGTTTAATCGAAAACTTTTCGCTATAACGAAGAAAACCGCGGATAATAAACATCGATTAATATATATCCGCTAATGTCGGTCCGCCCAGCGAATTTACTATTATCAGACGAATGTCACTTGCGAGAAATTAAACGAGTACGCATGAATGTCGGACGTGTAAAGTCATAAAATACAAATATTTGTACTGCGCATCAACGATACTCGAATGTTTATGTTGGACACATATTGCCTAATATTTCTCTTCGCTACAGGACGAGCATCGCGTTGTACGCGCGCGCGATGTTTACATTCGAAACAGCGATTTTCATAAAGAAACCAGTGACGTTCGATAAACGACTTTAGCGTCAGCATAAATGTTTGCCGGCGAATATGATTTTCCGGTTCGTAACCGGAATACGCGCTAGAGATACTATCAAACGCGATATTAACGCACCGCTTGGAAACGTTCCGTTGCGTTACGTCATAAAATTCAGCTCGTTAAAAGCGAGATTAATTAGGTTCTGCAATATCCTTTTCAATTAGCATGAATTTTCCATGAAGGCGTGATTTTCTACGTTTTAACGTTGCCAAGCGGCCGTTGAAATGACGTGCGATATTAATTGCGCTGCCTAGAAAATTTCTTCCTGTATGCCGATCGGATATTGAAAATTACTCAATGTGTTTTCCATCTCTCGTAACGACTAATTTCAACTGCAACTCCATTGTGTAACAGTTTTTAATAGACCGATAATCGTGCGTTCGATTAATTCGCCGGATTTTCGATTCGCGTGGAAAACAATCCCCGACGTGGTAGCGGATGGCGCGATCATATTTACGTCCGCTTCTAATTATCCATGCGAGGATAATAACCATTTGGGGTAACTCTCGTTGGGTTCATCGCTTCCGCTCGATCGGCCGGAAGCTGACGATATCCTGCCGTATTCGCTATTCGATATATACGAGTTACGACGGGCTTAGCGCCGAGCAAACGGAATCCCCGCGTGTCTGTAAGTCGCTCCTGCGTGCCTCAAACCGTCTGTTCTTCCATAGGATTATTTCACCGTGTGGTATTATCCAGTGGCTCGGCACTAAGTCCCTGGGCCTCAGTGCACGACCCGAACGATATCAGGGTGAAGATCGGCGAACAGATGGGCTGCTCGATCGAGGGTGACGAAGACATAGCTGACTGCCTCCGAGGAGTGCCATTGAAGACCCTCATGGACGTGCAATTACCGGAAATCAGGTAAGCGCTTAGATACAAGCGAAGCGTTGAGGAATATTCACTCTCCTTCCCTCGGACGGATAGCTCTATATTTGGCAACTACGTCAAAGGAAAATTAAAATAATGAAATATGTATTGCGAAATGGAACAGATGGAATATATCGATACTCTTCTTTTCCATCTTTTTATTTATGATAGCGTATCGATGTAATAAATATTATCTCGGAATCGTCCCATTTATGCGACACACGTACATATACATACATGCATATATAGGGTGTCCCGAAATTTGCAAATTAAATAAATACCACAGCAAGAAAATTTTTGAAAAGTTAAGTAAAAAAGTTATGTGTACATTTTTATTTCAAGCAATAGTTTTTCAGATGTATGATTTAAATATAGCCAATTATATTATAGATTATATTAGACAGCTACCTATTCATGAATCGCACGTGCGATAGTATTAGTAAGCACACACTTCAGCGTTTAGTCTGTAATTTTGGCTATATTTAAACACTTAATTATTATTTCACAAACTATTGCTTAAAATAAAATTTATAAATAATTTTTTTTACTTAATTTTTTGAAACTTTCTTATTGCAGTATTTTCACACGATTTTCGAGACACGTTGAGATATATATATATATATCGCGGAATTCATATTCGTCGCTTGAATGAATCCAATGAAGCTATGCATTTCGATGAAAAGTGGAAACGTTCGATTATAAAAAATTCAATAGATATGATTGATTCGTTAAAAAAATGACATCTAGCTAGCACAGCAGCAATTACTGTGTTACACATTTATAACAATTTCATGAGTCCATGGCTGCGATGACTTATGATAAACTGTCATGAGTTGTCGAAACTGCACGTGGTGATATTTAACAATCTTGTAGTGTTATAAATTGCCACGTGGACGTTTACGCAATCAAAAATCGAGAACCTAGAAAGTTGCTGGATATTTTAAATTGAATTCTGTCGACACTTGCTTTAAGTATTCACGATAGTTCATAGGACGTTAACCTAGGTTGTACGAGTGCATTTACGAGTATATTTACCACGAGGTTGAAATGAATCTGCGATACTAATTGCAAGGATAATCACATGCACGTACGCTGAATTATCGGATTGCCGTCAGATCGTGGTGGGTTAATAGCTCTCGCTTTATTGATTTAATACTCTTATTGTATCAATTTAATATCGTGGTTGTTTGCACGAGTGAGGCAGGTCTGACTTTGTCGTTTTGTCCCACCAGATTTGTGCCCCGCATCGGGCCCGGTCTACCGGTGGACCAAAACAATCCTGATCCGGGTCTGGACATGGAGCGCGCGAGCGACGCGTTTATTAAGGTGCCGCTGATCCTAGGCGTCTCCACGACCGAGTCGAATCTTGACTTCAACAACAACGACATACAATTCGGCTTCGAAGAGGATCACCGGAATCGCATCCTTCGCACCTTCATCCGCAACGCCTACATTTACCATCTGAATGAGATCTTCTCGGCGGTGCGGAACGAGTACACGGACTGGGATAAGCCGGTACTTCATCCCATCATAATACGGGACTCGACCATGGAGGCATTGAGTGATGGTCACACAGTCGCGCCGCTCATGAGAATTGCCTTCTACCATGCCAGGCGGGGCGCTAAAACGTACTTTTATCACTTCAATCATCAGTCCAAGGACAGCGGCTACGTGCAGGTAAGACACGCCTGTTATATCGCTCCGAGGAACTTCGCAAGATAAAGTTTCTCGGTGCGAAGAAATTTTATCACGGGGATTGTAATAATTTTATTCTTAAATACCGGAATTTCATAGCATAGCTTTCTTTTTTTAAATAATAGCCAACTTTAAGAAATTTCCGAGGCGTAAGAGATTTCCGAGAGAAATGTGCACAGCGATGCGCGAAGATAGTAAGAAATCATGTAACTTAGGCGTTTGTCGATCGACGGGGATATCCGCGGTATCTCGAGACGTCGATTTTTCTCTATCGTAAAACGATATCGTCCACCCTGCTAGCACAGCTATTGCACGCTACTACACACAGTGAAAGGTGGAGCGAGTGAGTAGAAGAGGTAGAGACGCTGCTTAAGTCTGAGTTAACTCCATTAACTTGACGTTCCGAAGAGAGACTAACGTTCGCCCTCGACACCTAGTAGTCTGCCGGCACTTCCAGTTAAGGAAGCAACCCGTTCAACCCCTGCCCGACACACTCTCTCGATCCTACGTCCTCGTAGCTCATCCGTCTCACTCTGCGTCGCACTCGATCCATACCCGGGTGGTAACCGCTGGCCATGACTTCACGATGAAGACACTGATTTAATAAAACGCCCCGAGCGACCCGCGCGCACCGTGTTCGCATTTTGTCTCGGGAATGACGGGGATTTGTCACGCTTGACATAATAATATCGGGAGGACAAGAAAGAAATTGTTATATCGGCCAATTTGTAAGGTTGCTGCCAAGCGGCGCGTTAAACTTGCGACGGGGAAACAGATTGACGTTTTCAATTTAGAGGGAAAAGGAGAATCATAGGGAGCTTGAGAAATTTCGTATGGCGTGTTTGTAGATATTCAAGAAAACGAATTATCTCCAACGCGGAGGTATATTATCTTCCTCGCGATATTATCTTCCCGGTGGTTAGAAAACCGCCCATAGAAATAATGAAAGTCAGCGTTAGCGGTGCGCGTCAAGTTGGTCTCTCCAAAAGTTAAAGTTGGTTAATCCCACTCTCGGAGCGAGAGAGTGCAGGTGGTCGTGTAGTTAACAGCGATTCAGAGCATCAACGTTACTTTCTTCCCCTTTCCCCCGTCATATGTGCACAAAAGGGGATTTAATCAAGCGCGAGGCGAAAAATTCGCTCTTTAAGGAGATCCTAAAGTCGTCTTGTTTTTTACCGATTATTTTTCAAATAAATATTTTTCTAATTGCCTTTATACTAGATTAAAAAATCCTTTTCCACAATTAAAGTAAAAACGAAAATGTAGTCTAAACCGGTCGACTTTATGCCAAAAAATAAAAAAAATTGGAAAATTACAGTTTCGTTATCAGCTTCTGGCGTCAATTTGTAACAATATTTGCTTTATATACAAGTTTGATATTTTGTATAAAACAATCTTGGATTAGGGATTACATGTACAAACAATGTTGAGTTCTTAGAATTGGGCTTAGGTGCCTAATATGAAAGATTAGTTAGAAAATTGGTACATATGTGTGCGATATTGATGCAATAGTATATAGTAATGTATGACACGTAAATCGTACGTGTAAGTCCTATTGAATTGATAAAACAGACGACTTTAGGATCCCCTTAATAAGTTCACGTAACCGCAACTGACTCTGTCGCTTTAAATATTGTCAAACACAATCGGAACGTCGCACTGGTTTACCAGCGCGATAAAAAAGAAAGAAATGAGCGAATTAGACGAGACAAAGGCGAAAAAAGCCGCACCGAAGAGAGATAAGAAAGCGATATCAAGACCACTGAATGCAAATGCGATGAATTTATTTGAATTGTTAATCGCGACCCGGCGTTTTCCGTCTGCCACAGTCCCCTCGTCCATTCTTTCCCACGCGCGTTTCATGCGTGTTAATAGAGATCAGTGGTACAATACGTAGAACCATTTCATGTAGCATGATAGAGAATTTAGCTATTGAAATTATGCATTTGCAGTACAACGCTCTGCAAAGGGTCGGAGAGAGACGGCTTCTGGTTAATCGTCACGGTTCTATTAATTAACACTAAAATTAGCTATCAATTAGATTAACTGATATTCTGTTTCGGTTAATTAAATAAAACAATCGCCAATAGCTGTTGATAATTTAATAATTGACATGAATTACGCAAATTGCGCGTGTAGTAAATATTATAATATCTTGCACCTACGAATATACGTAGTGTCAGCCGTATAATTATCGATTGCGGAGCTTAGATGCTCCATGGCTCCAATTCTCTGAGTGGGAAATCTCGTTGCAGCGCCTGGGGAGCGTTCGTGGGGAGGACATACCGTATATTTTCGGGCTGCCGTTGGTGGCAGGCGGGGCTTTCTTCCCTCGGAATTATTCCCGACAAGACCAGGGCGTTGCGGAGGCCGTACTCACCTTCTTCACCAATTTCGCCAAGACCGGTAACCCGAACGAGCCGCACAAGATCGAGTCGGTCGACTATGGCACGCCGAAGGAGAAGACGCGATTCCGCGGTCTCACATGGGAACAATATGAGACAGGATCTCAGCAGTATCTCACGATAGGTATGTTGCGCTTGTGACTGCAAGAAGAGAAGAAGTAGTTCTACCGTTATTTTTCGATAAATTTAATTTTCTACAAAGCGCCTTCTTCCGTCCTCCGTTTCTTTAAAAGGATCGTGACGTTTCTCGTGGAACGTCGCGATCTTTTTAAATTCTCTGAAAAGTTCCTTCAGAATTTTGATTGTGTACAGTGGACTTTGTCCGCCTCGACACGTTCTCTTTGAAATTTCTTTGAAAAGTTTAATTGTGCGTGCGAGATGAAATCCTTTTAAATGTAATGTAAATTTATTTCTTGATGATAATTACGTAGATATTCTTTAATGCATTCGATAATTATAATTAATTCGTTATTAATAATTATTCGCGACAATACGTTGCACATTTACAATTGATTAATATGTAATAACTATTTTTAGTCAATGATGACAAATAATTATCGAAGAAGAGACGTTTTTAATCATTAAAATTTTATTTTAGCGTTAAAACCGAAGATGAAGAGCCATTACCGCGGCCATAAAATGGCTGTATGGCTTAATTTGATACCTCAGCTCCATCGTCCTGGCGACGACGACGTTTCAATGCGGCATCATCACTTCCGGGAACGAGGCGATCATTATTATGCAGGTTAGATCACATCTTGCGAAAGAAGTGAAAGTTTAAATTTTTATTTCTCTTGTTTAAGACATATCACTCAATTATTCCTTGCTTTATTATTATTCAGGACCGGTTCGGGACGAATGGTACACGCCACTGCCGCTGACAGGCACGACTCGGACGAGTTCTTCCTCAACCACCGCCTGTAGCACATCTACGGGAGGTGAGGATAGCCTTATTGAGGATATTACTCCGATTCTGGACGATTCCGAGGACGATGCCGAGCTGCTGCAGAGACTAGCGTCTCGACATTACTACAGCACGACCACTGCCCTGGGGATCACTGTGGGTGTCGGTTGCATCCTTCTGGTTCTGAATATGCTGATCTTCGCTGGCATTTATTATCAGCGGGATCGCGACAAGAAACGTGCCGCCATGGATTGTAGGCCGAATGGACAGGAGTCTCTGCCGATGACCACCAGGACGTCCATGAAGCCCTCCGACAATCCGCGACCCGCTCACGAGCCACCCCCCTCGTACACAACTCTCGCGAGAAGCCCTTCCATACAGGAACAGCACCAGCTCACGCCGCCCCAGGACGGTCAGGACAGCGAGCAGTTGAGGAAAGAATCGAGATCCGGTCACGGGACCAGCGGCAACGCCCACAAGGACGCGATCCCTCCGAAACCGCCCGCCAGGACCACCAGTTCGCTCACCACTGCCGGCAGTACCAACACTATCAAGAAACGCGTGCAGATACAAGAGATATCCGTATAGCATTAGGGGTTGCCCCCAGAGGGCAACGCACGGACGAAACGAGTGACCTTTATGGACTCGGAAAAGGCCACCACGGAGTCCAGATTTTGAACGATATATTCTCTTAATTGATCATTGAACAGTGCCGATTAAGGAAATTTTTCCTTTATCGCGAGATTACATGAACATAACTCGAATTCAACAGAAAAGGACTTGTAACAGATCTTTTACAGTGTGCATTGTGTGTGAATTGTGGTCAAAAAGTCAACGTATAATCGTAACAGCGTGTCTGACTTTAGCCGTTACTATTGAAAATGGTCGATTGTTGTCGACTGTTACTACTTGCGGCGCGATACTGCGACATGACTGACTATAACGCGGTCGCACTACTGAACTGTTATTACTGCTAGATTGCGCCTGACTATTACTACTTAGGAAACTTTGTGACCGGTTCTTTCTACCGGTAGAAATGTAAGATTGCACGTGGTCGTTATTTCTAATAGAGACGTGGATTGTACGTAGTTGCTATTTATAATGAAACGGAATATTCTGTTGTTTTTAAAAGTGAAAGTGATCGCTAAAGTACCCCTCGTAATTCGTGGCTACATTACGTATATGTCAGGTGCTCACAAAGTATTTTATTCAAGGAACTTTTTTGCAATTGAAGATATCGATACAATGTTTCCTAGCCATTTAATTCATCGGAATAAATACTGTTTCTCTCAGAGACCGTGGCAAATAGGTGGCCTTAAGTATCACTACAGTATATAAAGGAAACGTATCGGTATTTTCGATGTCATAGAAAAAGGGCGCCTGACTAGGAAATATTGAAACGAAACGTATAATGAGATTCTTGCTAAGAACCTCCAAATTGAATTCTTTGCTAAAAAGCAATTATATGTATAAGAATACCGTGTACGAATCGATACACAGTAATCGATGACGACGACAACGACGAATCCAATCAAAGAGATCTCGAAACGGAATCGGAATACCAAAGCCACGTACACGATCGCATACCAGTCTCAACGACTGCTTTGTAAAGCATCGATTGGGAGAAAGAGGCACTCGATGCGTCCGTTATTCGCAAGCGAAACGAATACGGTGTACCGGGTGTACGGAAGTACCATTTGTATAAGTGAAAGTGCACTCGTCGTTTCCGCCTTTGCAACACATAGCTAGGCTACATCTTTCGAAACGTAATTTCGATCCTACCGAGGAGAACGGCTTAATAGCGCTCGCGAGTGCTCGCGAAGTTTATTCGGGCGGAAAGCGCAATTCTCCAACCGCGTTACCTGTCGCGTAAGTGCACAATCACCAGTGCATTCGACGGAGCAAAGCCGTGGAACGGCATCGGGAGTACGAGACTACGATCGAGCAGCGCGACGACTTTCGAGAGGGCGGACTCGACCTTCCGCTGAGTGTTCTTCTCGTAGAGAATAGTCTGACAGTCATAAGTATCGTACCACCACGAAATTGCGGCTAGAACTCTTTATCGTGATGATATATACACGTTCCGTAAAATTATTTCCATCCGCGTTTTGTTCGAGAACCTCGAGAAATTTCGCGATTGACAGAGCATCTTGTATATCCTTTTCTACAATACTTTGACACGCAAAACAAGGTACGAATATTAATACTGTATTAACTTCAGTATTAACATCAAAATTAAATATTAATATATTGAACATGTCTATATTTTTAATTACAATATTTTAATTAATATTATATTACAGAATTAAATGGATATATATATATATATAACGGCGTAATTTTTAATTTTACATTAATTAAATGTACAATGAGATGAGCTTGTTTGATGGCACTTTGATTCTTTGAACAAAATTTATGAAATATAATTCCTTCAATCGCGGCCTATCTAAATTAAGAAATTATCGCCAAGATCAAATATCTGCTCAAAGTACGTAACAATAAAAAAAAAACGAAAATGTAATTTCTCTTAAAGTAGAATTAAAACTTGTATAGAGTACTCTCTCTTTCTCTCTCTCTCTCTCTCTCTCTTCCACGACCAATATCCTAAGATGTGATCGCGCTCGTGTTTGCAGAGATACATTTTGTCTTTGTAGAGAGTTCTTAATCCTGAATTAATATTCATGACCTGAGATCGCCGAGACCGCTATACTCAACACAGATACTAAGTTTTGAAAGTCATCCTCATCATTGTATGCAACTAAATCAGTCCGCGTGCGAAAATGCGTTTCTCAGGATATAATGGAATGGAATATATAATTATGCTAGTATTCAATATAACAAAAATCAGGCACAGCAATATGAAAAGCGGAAAATATAGACACGACCACTGATAGGTTTTTACATACTAAACTGTTTCTATCACGTTTATATCTTGATTATTGAGATCGTGATAAGGAATGTAAACCTGAAACTTATTCGTACAGAACGATAACAAATAATACAAGAACTGAATTTTCTAACAATTTAACTGTTATCTTACGATTAGAAAAAGAAACAATATCTTTTTCCACCTAGAATGAGTTTCAAAATCATTAAATATTGAGACTGTCTAAAAAAATAAGATTCATCTAATCGATACGTACGATTCCTCGGCACATGAAACTATACATATGTATTAATATGATGTAAGATCGTAAAGCTGTAATTAAGTACCATGTAGTGTAATGCACAGACTCAGTGTCGCGTAAAATCATATTGCCGATTACAATAGTTTTAAGTACGTACATACATCATTACGTATAATTTTTCAAAGTAACTGTTCGCGAATGATATGATCTTTAACACGTTGTGATACTTGCGTGAAGGTAGTATTGACGCACGTAAAACGACAGTGAAATTTAAATACGTGTTATAGTCTAGAGAAAAAACCAATTTGTAAATTTCACTGTACAACAATAAATGCCAATTTATAAAAATATATAGCGATTTTTGTTTGCTAATCGTCCGTCGAGTGACAAAATTATCATATCATCTTTTAAATTTTGGGTCAGCGTAAAATGTTAAATAATTAAACATAACGCACGCATTTAACTAAATATAGACGAAGCTATATTTTCAAAGTACTTAAAATAATATACATGAAAAGGTAATGTAACAAAAAGTTTAAATCAAATCAGTTTCTAATATGATAAATTATGCTAGACATAATTTAACATTTTCCTTTTCTCTATGTAATTCGTTAATGCAATGAAAATAAAGTGTAACATACACTATGTAACTTTGAAGGTTTCAGGATAAATCAATCTTATTCAACAGCTCTTTTCTTAGCAGGAACTGTATCGTGCGAGGGACTGTTACCTCTCTTTTTCCCACCCCGTGCTCCACGTCCTTTGAACATAAAAAATTTTATTAGTAATTGCTTTTTTAAAATACAAAATTATTTTGTATCGTAATAAGGAATTCAGTTGTTTTAAGAGTTTAACTCAACGAAATATATACATAATTTATGTGTATAGACTTCTCAGTATTAGCATGGCAAATGTCATCATATGTATATTTGGTAGTCAACAACTATTTTACTATTTTAAAATGATCTTTTACCACCTTTCTTGGCGCCTCGTTTGGATTTATTGTATTTGTTCTTTGAAGCTACTATATCTTCCATTGCTTTAGCGAGGTACTTATCTTCTTCCTCACCCTCGAGCATTTTACAGGTAACTTCAATGTTTTGGATTACCACCTTGAAACAAGAAAAATGTTTTGCTTGATTATTGTAATTTCAAAACTATCAGAAGAACTATTACAGAATTAAAAAAATTTTGTGGATATTTTTTTCCTCACCTTGCCTTCATTTGTCTTTTCTAACAAAGGTTTGGCAGCATTTTCTCCCTGCAAACGTACCCAACCTTCCGTTTGTCCCCTTTGAAAATCGATATATGCAATATCAGCATCGAATTTGTCTAAACATTCCTTGACATCTTCTCTTGTACACGTCTTGGAAACACCAGAAAAGTAAATAATTGAACCTTTTGGCAATTTATTATCTGTTCCTGCAGAGGTTTGCTCTGTTTCATCATCTTCAGTCTCCTTTGTTTCCTCTGTCTAAAGAAAAAAATATATTAAAACACAAATGAAAGGTCAATTAAGAGCGATAGATCGTATATTTATCTTTTATTTACTTTGCTTACAGTTGATTTCTTTGGTTTTTCTTTCTTTTTCCTACGTTCCTCTTTCTCTTGTGCTTTTTCTGCATAATAATCCGCACTATAAAAATTTATACATCAGAATATATTATACATATACATATATATATAAAATATATATTAATTCTTTTTCTCCAGATACATTTTTACTTACGCCCACTTTCTTATTAACTCGGTATCTTCATATTTTACAGATTCTGTATTCATAAATGCTTTAGCGGTATCAAAAGTTTCAAACTGCACAAAAACAGATCCTTTAAACTTAAGAACTTTATCTTTATCTTGATATTTTCTCATCTGCAAAGTAAAATTTGAGATAGTAAATGCATTAGAAATAATTTTTGATTACATATTTATTTCGATATCCGACAATATATTAAATTTGTTAAATATTCCAAATAATCAAATAGACTAAGAAATAAATAGCACAAATACATTAATTTGTTCTTATTTTATCTGGTTCAAAATATAAAGATGTTTATAGTTAACAAATTAATATCAGAGCGCGAGTGTGACATGACAGACAGTGCACTGGTCTATCATGCCAGAGGTCCCGGGTTCGATCCTGATAGAAATCAAAATATTTACGCTCGTGTCTCCTCTCGGCAAAAGCCGGCAACCTCCCGAGAATATCCTTGCCCACAGAAACCTCCAAAAAATTCGAAACCGGCATTAAAATTGTAAGTCCCATATGCTTGTAGCAATTGAATAATCAGTGTGCGCACCACAAACATATGAGAGAGGTGTAACACAGGCCAGAGGCCTGATGTAAGAGAAAGAAAAAGAGAAGAAGAAATTAATGTCAGGACAATTTACTCATTGCCCAAAAATGTTATATTTACTTATTCTATATCAAACAAATATATTTACCACAATCGTTTCAAATGGCTTGTACGGTTCAAAAAAGACTTTCAATTTGTCAATAGTTGTGTTAGTGAACGGAAAGCCTTTGACATAAACTGTTCGAGCTTCCTGAGCTTTCCTATATCCTTCATTGAACTCTGGCAGGGGACGTTTTGGCGAGCGACGTATCTTTTTCCTGTCGTCAGATATCTCCATGAGATCGCTGGTTTCCAATGCTTTTAGAATTACGTTGACATCTTTGCTGAGAGTAGCCAGCATTTTAAAGTTTAACATGATAGTCATTGGAATCCAGCCTTCGTCCAGTTTTGTTTGTTCAATGAGAAATTTGTCCCTCTGCATATTTACATTGCCAAAATAGTACTGCAAAAAGAAAATAATATTAGAAGGAGTAATGCACAGAGTGATGTGTGATTTTGTATGAGAACGGTCATAGTTGGCAAATTTCGGATTCAATCCTGACTCTACTTTTTTTGAGTGCTTTCCATTTATACCTGTTTCTAGATGTAGATTAAATTTATCTTGGCTCAACTGACTCTACATCTTTTTCTAATTTTCAACAATAGAAAAAGATGAAAAGTAAATTAAAAAATCTATATCTATATTGCTAGAAACTGATGCTAGGCATTAGTGATTGTTTAGTAACACAAGTCAACATAAACATCATTCTGTCTCTCTTAACAGTCAAGATACCTATTCTTCTTCTCCATATCTATATGGAAAAGAACAAGGCCAAATCTATAACCTTGCTTTAAGGCTCAGTTCCACGACTCACGATTAAGAGTTAACCGAGAGTTGTGGAACTGGGCCAAAGAGGCCATAAGCTGTAAGCTGTAATTCACTTGTAAGTGATGATATATTGGCCACAGAACTTATGCTTTTGGACTATAAGATATGGGTTTTGCTCAATTCGCTAAGTCTAATGGTTAAAGTCTAAAGACTGCAAAAACAGTTTAAAGACAGAAATTATTGTCACTTAACTCTCTTTCGACTTATGACTTAAGGCCTCTTAAAGCAAAAATGTGGACTTATTCTGGCCTTAAGAACACTTGAAGAATCGAATTTTTTGCATGATTCATCTCATGGTGGAAATACGTAAGGTGAGCTATTCCCGTGGATGCGCAGTAGGAGAATGAATTTGGATAACATTTGATTAGTTATTTCAGTATAACCAGCACTATTATACATCAGAAAGTACATGTTGGAACACATTTGATTGGTTATTTCCAGTATTGCTACCGCCATTACGCGCAATAGCTCACCTTACATATTTCCAGCATGGTTCATCTTTCTTCTCTTCAATGAAAAGAAAAACGGAAAGATGAACCATGTGCAAGAAATTCAGTCCTGAGGTATGGAAAAACAACTAACAGCCTAACGAGTAAGACAAAACCGACTCGTGTAAACTTATGTCACCAAATAAAAAGCACCCTTCCTTTCCTCAATAAGAAATTTATATTTATGTTTCTACATCTTTATATTATCAAGGTGCTATAAAAAGAAATGAAAAATAGAAGATAGATATACCACATGGACTAACGAGTGGTCTCGTAAGAGAACGATTGATTCGTAATCTGCGAGTCTTAGATTCGATCTTGATTCTCGCTCCACGTATGACCTCGGTTTAAAAAAAAAAAACAGCATACGTTGATTACTTCTTTGAGTAATTGTTACAACTCAAAATCACTGAGACGTGATTCAAATTTAACGTAAAAAAAAAAAGAATAAACTGTTTCTTTTCGCGCGCGCGAACATGAAGTACTAAATATATACCTCTATTTGTGTTTTAATCTTCGCCAAAAGAACTTCAGATGGTTCTTCCGCATCTTTTCCATTTTCTTTTGTCTCTTGCTCTGCTTTTTCATCGATGGCGTCAACAGTCTGCGTGGTCGGCGTATCGCTAACCTTGACAGTCTCGTTCGTCTTGGTCTCGCTGGTAGAATCACCGTTTAAGTGATCATCGTCAATTTTTACCTCTTCCTTTACCTCTTCCTTTACTTCTTCCTTTACCTCTTCCTTTACCTCTTCCTTTGTCTCTTCTTTCGTCTCGTTTTCCATGTTTAAATATCTTACCGGCGACAATTACAGAAACAAATACGACGCAATTTCTAAAATAACGGCTACTATAGGCTTTATATTCTTGAACTCTGAAAGCGAAAAGAAGGGCTACTCTAGTCTCCACACACGTGCTCCGTTGAGCCGAAAACGGAAATCAACGGAAATGATGCTACGTCACTAACTCAATTTAACAAGAAAGGCACACGATTATTCGGTGATTGTATAGACATTTATGAATGATTTCCAATTGACGAATATTCACTAGGAAACATCTGCCCTTATATAACGTTATTATTTTATATTTCTTTTTTATATATTTTTCTATAATAATGTATGTACGATAAAAATTATCCATAATATATCAGTCAAAAAATATGAATTGTTAAACGTTATAGATTGGAAAAGAAGATTGAACTATCGCGACCTAAAATCTAGTAACTTTTACATTATTAGTGAGTATGGTGATGGGGTGCATTCAGGGGGTGTATTCAGTACCACTGAGCGCTCAGTGAGCTCTTGTATCTG